GTTCATACTTTTTCTTTCTCATTTTCTAGGCGAGTCTACCCTATGTTTAGGTTGGGGCAATTTTTTTTTCTGTACCAAATAGAAGGGAAATGTTAGTTTAATAACCAATGTTTTGGGCTTGTCAACATTTTATAATAAAACCAAATGTTGGTATTGAAATGTTCAGAATTGTGGTCAATAGGTCGCCTACAGGGTAAATTCAGGAGTACAGCACTTTTAGTAAATGTTCAGCTCTTCTGTGTTTCTTATCTAGGCTTTTACACAATGGGTTTATAATAAATAACCATCTTTCAATCTATGAAAGTGAAGCATACGTTTAAGATATAACAGGCATGATATGTGAAACATTCTTAGTTTCCTCTGCTGTGACTGACACTGTACTTGACATTATCTGCACTATGCGAAGGCTTTTAGCTCCACCCACCCTACTCTCCAGTCACTATACCCTTAGATGTACCTGCAAATAGAGTTTGAGCCATGTCTGCTAAAAGGATTATCTCTGATTATATACATTCCTGTGCTGATTTGAGGTACATTTGTTATCCGCAAGGAACCGGTTGAATGCTGGCACCCTGTTGCTCCAGATTCTAGGGATACGATGGACATCCGATCAGTGGCGTATAGGATCTGGACCGCCTGCTGAGAGCTGGCATCAGCCAATTTACCTCTTCTCCACTTTCCCCCCTTTATTTACAGGCTGTTTGTTTTTCTTTACAGTTCAACTACATGCCCTTGTTTATACAGTCCAGGAAAGCCTTGCTCTTCTGCAGCAACATCCTGCTTCAGTTTCTTTCAGATGCGAGTCCTGACAGTGAGCAGAAAATTCAAGGCTTTTATTGTCATTTGTGCATAGCTACAGTGTAGTTATGACAATGGAAATCTTAGGTCACAGGCTCCTCAAACAGCGCAACACAATAAAACAGATAAAATAGTGCAAGTAAATAAAATAAAATAGAATATAGTAGAAATAGTGCAGAATAGTCTATAGTAATTGGAATATTGATATAAGTTGCAAACAGATTAATGTTATGGATGTTCTTTAAAAAGTTCAGGTGTTTAACAGTCTTACGGCCTGTGGGATGAAACTGTCCCTTAGTCTGGTAGTTTTAGACCCGATGCTGCATTAGTAAAATAGTCTACTAGTTAATAGAGAGCACTTTGAAGGATTCTAGATATGGGAATGGACATTTGGGAATCACCTATGGCCCCTTATTAGCTATTTTGCAGGAACAATTATTGGATTCTGCTGTTTTTTGGACACAAACAAGCATTTGTACCCTTTCAAGCACAAACCGCCCCACTTCTGTCATTTCTAATCCTCTAGTGGTCACATATGTATCGTTGAGCCTCCAGATCACTGCTTCCTAGATAAACCCTAAGTCTGCATCTATCTTCTTAGACTGTCTGATTAGCACAACGTCATAGCATGGGGTAGTAATCCCAGTCTGGGCCCAGGAATAGAGCGCTGGGAGGGGCCAGGCCACTGGAGAGACGGTAGAGCCAACGTGCATGTGTCACCTGGGTAATCCCTAGTTAAATAACCCCCCTGGGCAGGAAAAAGAGGGAGGGAGCTGAGGGCAGGGGACGTGACACCGTGGGAGCAGCTCCAGTCAGTGTCCTCCTATCCCTGGGACACAGCACAGCAGCCGAAGAAGGAGAGGGATTCAAAGACTTGTTGGACTGTAGGAAGACAGTGCTTCGATCAGGATGAACTTTGCCGCCCAGTTTTTCTATTCGAGCTACTTGAGTGAGCGACTTGAGCGTTTGTACTCACCCAGGCCTGCACTTAAAGACGGAGATGAGAAGGACCCCTTCTGGCAGAGGTGGGATATTACAACATGTAGCCCTTTGGATCCTCAAGACCCCTCCCCTAACCAGCTTAGTCCAGTAGGAAAATATTTACCCTCTGTGCTTAGTTTGGAAAAAGCTTCTACCTTCATCGATTCAGCTCTTCCTTTAGTTACTTCCTTCCCTCCTCCTTATCCACTTTTTTTGAAGCATTCCCTGACAAATACACCCTCAAATCTCCAATCTATTCCTCTGCCACCTCCTCCTCAACTCAATCACAAAAGGAAATCAACTACCCCACCCATTTGTCTTCCAAATCCATGTTCGGCTGCTGAGATCCCCCAATCGAGGCTTTATGAAATCCCTTCCAACGTTCTTTCTCCTCAGATGATTCTCCCAAAACCTTCTCCAGCTCCATCCAGGTCCCCAGCAGAAATGGCTTCTATCGGTGTGTCCCCTTCTTCCTCCTCTTCCTCAGTTCCTGCCCCTTTGAGAGGAGAGCTCCTCCCAACCTTCCAAGCCCTGGTAGACTTGCTCCTTCGCTTGGTCCTCTACCTTGTTTTCATCTGCGTCCCCAGGTTACTCTCGATAAGAGAAAGACAGAGAGAAATCAAAAGCAAACAATCAAAGAGGTGGGCTGTTCAAGAATCATTAGAGTGCAGTACTCTGCCACTGCTTTGGGCAATATATTCTGTCAATGACATCACATCTAGGGTCACATGAAGGGTTCCAGTGGTTCTTAGCAAAAACGGAACAACCATGATTGTCATTGTCATGATTGGGTCGATTTTAAATGGACATGTCCAGACAAACTAAGAAAAACAACTTTCAAGAACTTTGGTATGAGTATCTAAACCATCTGGTGCTACTTGTGGTACTTTGACTTAAACAAACTGTACAAAGCATGCAATTTGGATGTCATACCCATGCCTGAATGACAGAAAGATGAAAAATGGCACTTACAACAATGCATCATCAACAATTGGGGTAATATAGTGCTTGGAGGACTTTTCTCCTCTCAAGGGATCATTGTTCCATTATAGGAAAAAAGAAGCAAAACAGCAGCCATTTTGGGCTTTTCGTTTTTAAATGGACATTAGAAGCTAAGATAACCAATGACCAAAGTCTGGCGGGCTGAAATATCTTTGGCCTTGTAATAATTTGTGTTGCCAATTTTAATTAAAATAACCTTCTTTACCATTTGAGGGATGCTTTTTGAGGCTTCATCCTGGCGGCCATTTTGCTATTTTCCCCCTTTTGATGTTGTTTTTTAACTCTGCCTTTGATCAGAAGCACCCTCCTCAGAGGTGCAGCCTCTGACTGTTCAAGTCATAAGTGCACACTGAGTGTCTTAATAAGGAACTGGAATTAACTGACAAGTAGAGCAGAGGGCAGCAATGGACCCTGTGGACGCGGTGAAAGGTCACACTCTTGTTTATGCCAACCATTGTGACATAAATAGACTGGTGTGTTCTCTGAGGAGTGCAGATTTAGACGTTTCTTAGGGAGAACTGCTCTATCTGGTGGGAGATTGGTATTCAAACACACTAATACCTAACGCTAAAGCACTTTCATGACTGGATTATTTTTTAGTTATTTTTAGTTACTCAGCTCTATCTGGACTGATACAGCAAACCCTGCCCATCTGAAGACATAAACACATATGTTCATACCGTAGATCTGAAGACGACTTGGATCCATTGACTAAGCTTATTCAAATTTAGCTATTAACTATTTGTGATCTGCTTATGTGGCTAGGTGACAAGGTTAATCTCCAAAGGGTGTAATCCTATTATTATGTTTATATTGTGTACAGTGCCTCCGTAAGATGGTTAGAGAAGTGTCAACAATTGATTGTGAGGTTTAATCCAATTTTGGCAATGTCATTTGAGAAATTAACAGTAAACAAGAACTCAGATATTTAACTTGACTAAAATATGCTATAAATAAAGTTACAATTAAAAGTATTGCATTCAAATTGAAGAGGTAGGGCTCATTTTAACCACCTACTATATTGCTTGGTAACCTATTATAACTTATTTGCAAATGTAGATCTTTAAAACTTAAAGTGGACCTATCATGCTATATTTTAATAATATAGTGTAGGACCATACCTATATAAGGCATATTTATACTTTTTTTTGTTCAAAATACCATATCAATATCATGCACTTTAGCCATGCCTCATTTCGCTCAATTTGCACTTTTGTAGCACTGTTTTTGCGAGGGGTGATTCTGTGAGAACAGCACCACCTACAGGCCTGGCATATGTACTACAGCGTCTCCAGCGCTTTCGAACGGCAATGGCCGTGGCTGTCTCCTCCTGATTGGTGGAGTTGGCCCAATAGCCGTAGCGCCACCGTCCTGACGTCAGGACAGTGTTCAAATCTGGATCAGTTTTTATCAGATCCGTTGCAGCCCCTTTTTTTAGAGATTTGGGTATGGAGGAAAATAGAGAGGGTTGTGTTTTCTGACACTTGGTGAGTTCCCTGGAACACCGGGGACACATATTCATGTATAAAAGACGTACAAAAGTGCATTTTGCATGATAGGTCCCCTTTAAATCTAAATGAATGTACTAACTAGTAACTAAAGCTTTAAATTGAATGAAACTTGGAAATGTAGTAAAGTAGAAGTATAAAGTAATAGACAGTAAGTTGTAAATACTCAAGTAGTGTAAAAACACCTCAACATTTTAAGTACATTTCTGAGAAAGAATGAACTATTTAAGTGAGTTATACTGTTTGGTTATATTCAATGGTCATGTACTGAGCTGTTATAAATGTAGAAAAAGTCTTCCAGGGTGGTGCATTTGTGTGTTTTGGGGAAGTTCAAACTTTATGATCTGAGGTCTGGATGCTGAACACCAACCCTTTTAATTCAAGGAGCTATGAAAAGCAAATTATTCTTTTGTTTGGGAATTGTTTTTCCTCTGGGTTGGAGTCTTGCCAACTAGTTCAGTGACAGATGCATCTGGATTCCCAGCTTTTGGTCCACAAATTAACCAGAGTTGCTCACTGGTCTCTGTCTGATTAAATTAATCTGTATGTTCATCGTAATGAAGTTCAGGCAAGTTTCAAGGTTTTGAGGATATAATTAGGACAAGGAATTAAGGTACTTCCTACCTCGTCTAATCTGTGTATCATCATTGTGTTGAAGTACATGTCAGTTTTCTCAAAGGCATGATATCCCAATCTAAAATGAATTACAATATGTCTACCTGGTGTTTCCTTCTCAGAGATGAGTTGTGTCTGGGCCCCAGTCAGCCTGGAGGCTCTGACAAATGTGGCCACATCACTAACGGTAATGCAGTCCGTGGATCCACCCTCATTGAACCGGAGCGTCTGAAGGACTTCGGTGAGGAGGAGCTGTTCAATGGGGACGTGAAGATCTATAGCACCAAGGTGGTGGGGGGTCCTGCTGAGATCGTGCTCAAGGACCCCCCTAAAACCAGACGTATGAGCGAGTTCAGGAACAACCCCAGACCTCTTGTCCCGTTTCTCCGCTTTGAGGACATCAGCGCCGCAGCCTTCAGGATCCAGGCTGGGATCCAGAAGACCCCCTGCACGGTAAGCTATAGAAGGACTATAGTGATGTGGTGGGGAAAGAAAAGGTTAACAAAAATGATATAGAGTGCTTCAGAACCCTCACTAAAAAATATAAACACACATCTTTGGAACTATATATTTCTATATTGCATTTATACTTAATACTGTAAAATCTTTGACAATTTTGCACATTTCTGCTCCAAATTACCATTGTAAAAACTACAGAAGTCTTGTCATGTTAATTAAAAAGTATTTTATATATTTATATATATTATATATACTTTTCATAACTTTATAGCATTTTTCCTCTATTCTTTTGTATGTTTTAGGATTTTTGTAATTCTATTTTTTATGTTATTTCAAATTGCTAACCCTAACCCTAACCCTTACTAACCAATACACCAAAGCAGATTCCCTGTACGTGAACACCTACAATTGGCAATACACCATCTTCTGAATAAATATAGACAACATTTGATGAACAAACAGACATTACTGGAATGATAGTTGCACCAACAGGGATTAAAGAATGAATAAGTAGATAATAATATCTGAATACATTGTCATAGACTAAAGAAATGTTGTTCCAGAAGATGAGCTAAAGTTATAGCTTTTGACCTATACAGTACAGTTCAGTTAACTCAGTTCAGTTAATTAAACATAGAGCTTCTCTTAAAATGCTTCTTCTTTGTGTGTTTGTGCAGTACTCCAGACTCTCCAAGCAGTATGGGATGGAGATCTACCTGAAGAAGGAGCACCTGCACTACACAGGCTCTGTGAAGGAGAGAGGAGTCCGGTACATGCTCAGCTCCCTCACACAGGTCAGAGACAGAGATAGATGATCCCTTCCTGTCCGTCAGGTCACAGCTAGTGATCTACTATTTGTGTGCTCCTGCAGACACTGACCAATACTGACTTGCAGTTACAAAAATAGTCTGAGTGCAGCTTTAATTGACAGTGGCCTGGAAACGTTTCCCTTAGCTTATCTTTGAGAGAACTTAAATAATGTTCAACCAACCTTACAAATGGCCTATCAGCAGAGTTGTGTTAATACGTTTCTTATATATTCTTAGGTTTAAGCCAACTGTTGAGCACACTGATGGAAAAAATGACTTCAGACGCCTTTATCCTCGCCAGTAAAGCCATGCAAAGATCTGCTTTGTGTCAGGAAGCATCAGGGATTATGGAAACTGTGGTTTACATTTTGAGAAACACTGGCTTTACATAGAAGGCCTCATTCGGTCGAGGCCAGAAATGAACCTAGAACATCTTTTGTGGTGATGGAACTTGGTGCAATGTTAAACCTTTTAAAGGACTAGTTTGCTATTTTGAGAAATATGCCAATTTGCTTTCTAGTGGAGGGTTAATGAGAACATCACCATTAGCTTAGCATAAAGATAACAAAGGGAAACAGCTAGCCTTGTTCTGTACAAATGTAACAATATCCACCAGTATGTGTTAAGCTCACTTATTAACATTGTATCTTGTTTTTTTAATCCATCCTTGAGTGTAAAATAAACCAATTTGCTAAGAAGTAGTCCCGCACAGAACCACTTGCAAGACAGCGGACCATTCTTATGCTGGAAGTGCAAATGTTAGTTCACACTGTGGAGGATTCTTCATTGACTTCCACTAAATCGGTTGACGTTGGCTGTGTGTACATACATTATATGACATATGAATACATATCAACGTGTTTTTGTCCCCCCAGGCTCAGCAGAGGAAGGGCGTAATCGTTGCCACTGACTGTAACTTCTCCATGGCCGTGGCCCACCATGCAGTAGAGCTGAACATCCCGGTGTTTGTCATCATGCCGTCATGCTGCTCCTCGCCTCGCCTTCGGATCTACAGAGACTACGGAGCCATGGTCATCTCCTACGGCAGCACCGGCCACGACTCCCAGAACCACGCCCGTCATCTGGCCTCAGAGAACGGATACCTCTACCTGGAAGAGTCAGTGTTAACATTCTCAACTAATACTTTTTATACCCAGTAGTTGTGGTCTTTAATTGACCAGGCACACATTTTGGGAAAGCACTGATGTAACTAATAACGTTAAGGAGGAACTCCGTTCCCAAATTCTCCATGCACTAGATACTTTCACAGTATTCATACACGTTCCCTATAGTCAAAAAGACTTTCTACAATATGGGACCTTTAAGGGGAAAAACTCCAGCAACACTTGTAATATTAAAGACAAACTTACAACCGAAAGTTGAGTTTACTTCTTTGGAAACCACTATGTTCTTCGCGTGTTTTCCTATTGGCCAAACGCTGCTACTACACTTTCGTGTCAGTCCGTGAAGTGATAAAATAATGACTAATAATGACTGTGATTAAATATTTTTAAGGTAAATCAGCTTGCCAGTTGCCTCATGGGCAAACATTGTTTAGTTGCCTCATGGGTAATGTAGGCTTATGGAGGTCGGTTTGGCGTGGTTTTACAAAGGAAATCTACAATATGAGGTCTGCGGATCATCAGGACTTCACCTGTTACACTTTTTTTTCTGATTTACAGAGAAGAAAATGAAGCATACCTGGCAGGACTGGGCACTGTTGGCATGGAGATCTACGAGCAAGTGTCTAAACTGGACGCAGTGGTTATTCCGGCAGCTGGACAGTACGGGCTACTGGCTGCTACAGCTGCAGCCATCAAACACCTCAACTCCAGAATTCTTGTCATAGTAAGTACACGCTCAAATTAGGTTGTTTAATGATCTGCATAATTGTCTACCTACTGTAATGTTTAAGTATATAATATAATTAAGTAATGGGTTGATCTGTAGCCCAATCTAACACCAGCACATTTCCCATAATTCTTTCTTCTGATTACAAATAAGTACAACTCCCTGGTGTTAATCCAAGTGTGTGTTGCCGATGTTGAAAGGTATCTGGTTATAGTATTCAATTTCCAAACACTAATGTGTTTGGTTTACGTCTTGTTTATACATGTGGTAATATGGTGAAAATACATTGGCTTTCTCCAACAGGGAATTGAACCAGAAGGATTCCCTCTGCTGCAACAATCTCTGAAAAGTAACGGCCCAATCAAAAACATGAACAGCAACCCCAATAAGAAACTCTATGGAGGTAAACTCAGTTAAACATTTAATAGTCAGGTCTTGTTCAAGGCTATTAAAGAACTGTGACATGCATGTTCAACAAACTTCATAATTATCTGCTAATTTTTCTAAGAGAAGCTTATGGCTTTTTTATTTCTCTATTGCAGATCTAATGGAGCATTCCCTGGGAGATAACACCTTCCAGCTGGCAAAGAAATTTGTGGATAAAGTCGTCTCTGTCAGGTACTTCACATTTACACTTTCACGCTTCATCTGAAAACATTTTCAATTAGATATTGGACTCCCAGTGTGTGAAAACTCATTTAATATTCTGAATATAGTTCACTGTAAAACCCCATTTGAAATGATTACTGCTCTGAAATGTAGAATTCCAGGTATTTTGATGCAGATATTGAATATTTTAGAAAATACTCACTGTTATAATCTTTTTATATCAAACCCTAATTTGAAAACGTATAGACCGGGAATTCTAACCGTGTTTTCCAATTGAGGACTTATATTTCTTATGGCTGCTGTAACTTATTTTTCTTTCTTTGCCTCTGCCTCACAGTGAGGAGGACTCTCTGGTGGCGATGCTGCGGTTTCAGGAGTTTGAACGCTCCACTGTGGACACAGAGGGAGCTATGGGACTGGCAGCCATCTTGGCTGGAAAACTACCAGAGCTGAAAGGCAAAAGGTGTGTCAAACTTGTTAATATTATTGAACCTTACAATGCCCAATTGGCAAATTATCTTAACAGTGTACTACAGCAGTTATATTCATGTTATAGCAGAAACACTCTTCAACTAAGAAAAAAACACAAGTGGTTCTTTTAACGTTTGGCTGCAGATAAAACAAGACTTGTGTGTGTATGTATATATGTTTATGTATGTGTGTGTGTCTGTCCTCTGTAGGGTTGCTGTAGTGGTGACCAGTGCTAACATGGAGCTGGAGCTGATGAGGCAGTGTGTGGACCGGGCCCTGGTGCTGGATGATCGGATCAGTAAGTTCTCCGTGCAGCTGGGGGAATATCCAGGAGACATGGCTAAGCTGCTGGACGTCCTGTCCAGAGAGGAAGTCAGGTAGGGGCAACCCCTGTTCATTTGAAAGATCTGTTGATCAATCTCTCGCTTCACGCTGAGGTCTAGTTTATGTATAATATCTCTTGATGCCACCTTTTATTCCTTAATGTCTTCGTCTATTTCCTCTAAGGTTGTTGGATGTCTGCCAACGGAGACAAAGTGACAAGTCAGACCTCTTCAAGGCAAAGGTATGCAACATATCTCTCCTCTACACATCATCATTTGTTGTCCTCGTCTTCAATTTGCACATTTTCTTTTCTTGCATTGCCATGAAACTCATGGCTTTGAGTTAATGGGACAGATTAGTGTAACTAAAAATACAATTTAAGAGAAATATAGAGATATCAGTGCTCTTTTTTCTAGTTTGTTTTATCCCGTAAGAACATATGCTTACACTGCAAGGCACAGCCAATAAAAACCCAAGATTTCACTTTTTTTGTCAGGAATAAAGTGTATTGTAACTTGTGTTATGAACGATTTATGAACTAACACCTACACAAAAAGCTTCAGAATATAGATAGGGATGAAACTGCAAAATATGGTGTATGTAAGTGCTACTGAAGTGGAGATTTCTGGCTCAGTATGAGGAAAAAATGACTTGAATACATTTTTCAACAGGTGAATAGGGTAAAATATAGAACCAGTACACATTACCATGGACCTTCCCTAAATTGATTGCTCGCATTAAGATTATGTATGTTTTAAAGGTTTTCAAGTTATGTTTAAATATGCAAATGAATAATGATCGAATCTAAAAATGCAAAGAGACCAAAATAGTCAAATAAAAACCAACATTTTTATTTGGAGTGTTTACTATCAACAATGTCAGAAGACATATTATGAAATCAAAGTAGCACAAAACCAATTTACAAGTGCATGAAAAAACGGTGTTGTTTGAAATAAGACCTCATTCTTACCATCCAAAGTAACATGACCTTTATCAAAATCTGAATAATGTCATATTGTGAAAAACAGAGGAACATGAGTAAGCATGCACCTAGTCTCCTGGTTCTCCTCTGCAGTTTACACTAACAAATTGGCACCATACTGTTTTTCTTCACCTTTGGTCAACAGCCACGACAAAAGGTGAAGGTGTTGCATAATTCACTCACTGACCTAATTCTAGGGTGTGTGATGTTAGAGGGCTAACTGTATGTGGATGTGTGTGTGTTGGCAGGTGGAGTGTGTGGTGGAAACCAGGGATAAAACACAAAGCATTCAGCTACGCAAGGTCCTGAGTGAGCGCTACCCCTCTATATGCTGGCTGGATCGGTGATCACAACATGAACACAAAGACTAGAACACGGAAAAATAACATGACATGACACATGAATATAATGTGAGCTGCCGTGCAAACACACCCTGCTACATACACTACTACAATATATGAACTCTGTTATAGGAATACCATTAAGACAGTGGCTGTTAAGCAAACCTAAGTGCATAAAGAAAAGCCTTGAGATTGTGTAGAGAATACTATTCATGTAACTTCTATTACTTATGCTGCTATCGTTCTTTAATTATGCCCCTGTGTAATTATGGTAAAGTGCATAGGCTGTATTCAGAAGATGAATATACTTATAGTTCACAGAGCATTATTCAAGCACTGAATATGTACTCCTTTAGTGCCCTCTACGTAAAGTAAGTACACACTATGCAACTTCCTAAACCATCTGCATCAAATATGTATTTTATTTTCAATCCATATTGTATTTTTGTATATATTTCTGTATTTATTCTGCCTATGGTAGAGTAAAATTGTAAAAAGTGTTCTCGAAATAAACATTGACTGTCTATGACTTGTTTTTGTGGTTTTCTGATGTTGTGATGGCTGGTGTAAACTCTCAAGAAAAAAAAATGAAACATGATGGGAAAGTGAAATGTTTCTTTACTGCCAACTCCTGATAAGAGCAGAGGATTGCTGCAGTGGAGGCTGGGCTATTTAAGACGGGCTAATGCTCTTATGTTCATAAGCAGAGGACATTGTGCAACTGCTTCGTGCAACGTCACACTTGTAGACCTGCAGAATATCTGTTTGTCGGTTGCTTGAAACACAACTTCAAATGAAAGCTTATGTTGCCTAATTTTTTCATATCTCAATATATCAAATTAAAAGTATGCTTTTGTTGAATTGTGTACTCACATTATCCCAAATGTTTCCAACACTTTACGAGCATCCTTTATTTCAGTCAAGTTTATTGGTCCGTTTCATTCACAGTGGTTGTCTGCCAGAAGCTTTTATGAATGTAACTTTTATCGGTTTGTAATCTTTGTTCTAATGACCATTGGTTTTAGATCTTGGTGATTTAAAATGATAATGTTGTGGAGATCCAGCATTCACACAACAGGAAATAATGAAACAGAGAGGAATCAATTAAACACAAACACAGATATAGTTGATCAGTAATTATTATTTAGTTGTTGCAACAAACAAACAATAATGGGGAGTACATCACCTGCTGCCACAGCAGCCAATCGCGGAACTGCCCCCCCAGAACAGAAGAAACACAGGGCTAGATATACTTTTCTAAATGACACACGAACATGTTCCCTCAACATGTTTAACGCACACACATTGTCAGTTCTCCTGAACTTGGACATGTTCCAACCTTATACAGTCATATATGTTGCATCCTCTGAGTTCTACATGATCCCAGATTTAATGACCTTATTTAGCAGCTACCACACATGCCAATGTATACAACTGCTGGTGAAGAGTTTCAGCTGGTTGCCTATAGATGGTCCTCCTTCCAGCAAACCAAATGAACAACACACCGTCCACTATACTGTTGCTTAATACCATGTGACATTAATGAATATACCAGAAATACGCTGTAATAAACATTCTGCTATAACAATATTTCAGCCAAATTCAGGAATTTAGTCTTCTGTTAAACACTCCCTCCTTTGGGGTTTTCTCCCCCTCTTCTTTGCTCCCTTAGCGTGCTTCTGATTGGCCCTCGGCTCCATCTTTGCTCAGGTGTTTCAGATCTGCCCTCACACATATTATATAAGGAAGGCTGGAGGAGAAGTAGCTCCTGTATTGTTTTCCTGCCAGACACTGCAGAGCTCTGTCGTCCTTAAATTAGGGTTTTACTCAATTTTTTCCCTTATTTATTTTGAAGATGGAGGATCTGGAGACCCAGTTTTCGCAGCTTTATGTCTTAGCTTAGTTGGTCTCAAATTCCATCGCACAAAACTGGTCTCTTTGGCGTCTCAAATATATGTTGCTGGTCACAAACTAAGCCACAAAGGTTATGTGATGCCAGGTGGCTGTAACACATTGGACATCTAGCAGCGTCAGTTAGCTTGCAGCCTCACCAACCTATGTCTGCATTGAAAAAACTAATATTTTTTTAACATGACATTGCTTTATTCTATACATTTGAATTCATTTTGATTTGACCTCTATGGATGATTCAGATTCCTGTAAAAGTTCCTGAACATTGAACAATGAAGAAATCCTGACTGGGAGAAGCTGACTGCAATGACAGAAATGTTGGTCAAGAACATATAGCTCCTTAGCAACTACCTGAAAACTCAAACGGTCTTGTCTTTGTTTTTGGATTTAAAGACCTCTAGAGTCAGAGAACTACATAATGTGCTTTCTACATTTCCTGACGAAGAGCTGGGCAATAGAGGACCCTGGATAAATAGGGATAAGGATATACAGTATAGGAAATGTAGCAACACGCTAACAGCTAGCTTGTTCCTGGTGGTCCAACAACCAACAAATTATTATTAAGGTAGGCACACAACCTTATTATTACATGCATACTTTAAAAATGTTGATGTTCTCTTAACATTATACTTAAAGCCACCATCAGTTCAAAGTTTTAGTTTTTTAACAACATACCCCATTAGCCTCAGCTATACTCTTTTTGAATTGGAAATTAGCGAATGTTAGCATGCCAACACGTAGGATAAAACAATAAATCTTACTCATTATTTCCCCCTAATCTCGGGTCCTTCTGTGCCTTACTATGGCTTCACAGGTCCACTGTAAAATCTTAATTTTGTATTAACTGGTTTAGAGGGAATTCTTAAGTAAAATGTAATAAACTAAAGGATTAAGTCAGAGCATTTCAAGAAAAATAAATAATTCAGCAAAACACATTTCCTGCAGTTTGTAATTAACTCTTTATTTTTCAATGTTAACATTAAGAAATTCCAGTCTTCAGTTTAAAAAGTTGAACACAAAGCACTTCAGTATATTAAAAGGCAAATTCAAACAGCAACTCACTTTATTTTTATCCTGGAGAAGAGGAAGATGGCAGTGTACCATCTGCAGTTCCATCTTCATTACAGCAGCTGAGAAAATATCCCAAGTACCATTGAACAGTGAGAGCACAACATCATGTCATTAAAGATAACCCTTGTATTGCACTAACATTTTCAGCCCGGAATCATCAAGAGAACTCTGATGCTATATAATATAAAAATAATGTTAATATTATTATCCAGAAAAAACTTCCCTGGTTTATTAATAGAAAATCCATGGAATTAAATTGTGTCCATCATATGAACACATTAAGTTATATGAACTAAGACGGAAAATTGTAGTGTCTCTATAAAGCTGTCTTGACTTCAAATAAGAGGAGGCACAAATTGATTTTGTTCTTTCAGCTTATGTAGTGTTGTTCTTCTGGCTTCATCTTGCCGGACTCAGTGCTGTTTGGGGCGCTCTGGGTCGTATTTGACCAGCAGGCCGAGGGAGGCGAAGCCAAACAGGAAGGTCTGGATGAACCACAGGCAGCGAGAGGTCAGGTTGGTGATGCCTTTCTCACTGCAGGGGAAAAGAGAATATAGAATGAACAACAAAGTTAAGTTAGAAGCAGCTGTATAAAACCCCAATCCTTATAGAATTTGAAAGGGAGGGGTAATCCGGTAGTATTAAGTTGGTACATTTGAGTTCAAACCCTAAACACTGGTCCTTTTTTAAATATACTTTAAACTACATTTAGATTCAGGGTAGGAATTACCTTCAAAAACTTCCCATCTCTGCTGCCACTGCTAGCAAACACAGAGGTAACTGAAAAAGCTTCAGTAATTGTTAACACAATATAGGATCAAAATTGGACATAAAGAAGTGCTTATTTATTTTTTACAGAAATGTCACTAAATAATAATATCCCTGGTGCCTGAAGCACACACTAAAGCATGTGAGAGAAGGTAGCTTTTGGACGTCTATTTATACTCAAGTATGATGCGTTTGAGTTTTAAAGGCTGTTGCCTAATTTCATTGGCAAAAATGTGACTACATCACCATCCAGTGGACGATCAGGTTCTTGTCATTCTTACCGGCACATCCTCATTGCAATATAGGCCTCATACAAATGGATAGCCCAGGCAGCCCACCATCTGTAACAGACAAATGTGTGTTATAGTCCTCGGATTTTATATTACACGCTTTCTATTTTTGCACTTTTTCTTGGTACAGCATTACAGGCGCCCCTTTTAAAGTCATACAGTCTGAGAACATGGTGAAACTGCACATAATGTTTTGTTTGTCTTCATGTAAAGTTATGTAACACCCAGCAATGAGTCCTGGGGTCACATGACTACCTAAAAACAGATTAAATTACTTACTTCACAAATGTAAAAACACCAAGTACTGGATGGTCCACGCAGTATTAACGGCTGTCTTTACTGTCACATGACTCAGATGACAACAAAACATTATGTGTTGATTGCTGTCTTAATTCTCTACTGTTGCTACGGCAGTCATGTGACTTAAACGACTAATTAGCAGAGTGCTTTAGCAGTGGAAGTGTGTGTAACGACCTGTGAATGGGAGAACCATTAAGGCTGTAGGTGATTAAAAACTGTATTCAAGTCTTGTGAGGGTACTTTGCACATTATCTGATTGTCTTTGCTCTTCAGTAGAGACAGTCATGTGATTGCCTTTATTCTAATAAGGCAAAATCTCGTTTTTTGAGCAAGTGAGAACTGTCAAAACTGTAAAAAAAAAAGTAAACATTTGTCTAAGGCAGATTTAAAAAATAATAATGATAGCAGTGTTTGCTTCTTATCACTTACCCTTTGTACATAATGCTAGCATAGTTATCCACGAGATGAGTGCAGAAGCTGCCAAATGGACCAAGGTGCTCGAATGGGATTTTTTCAGGTGCAAACACAATGCACTGCAAAACAAAGAAAGAGTAATTTGACATTAAACAATACTCATACAGTATGCTGTTTATCTTATGAGATACTGCTACAAATGGTTTTCTATAAAAGAAGAACATTCCAATAAAAAAATAAACGGTGCAGTTTCTAATTTTTGCCAAACACTTTAGGGAATTAATTTTTTAGGATCAAACCGCTTATGAATAAAGTTTGACAAATCTAAAACATCTTTAATATCTGAAATTCCTTTACCTAACAAGAATTAAAAAACGTGGCCAGTTTGTTATCTGAAAAAGTCATCCTTTAACTTCCTGCCTTCTCAAAATCCTTTTATATGTTCAACACTCCAAAAAAGGTGGATTTGGGTTTGATTTATTTCTCAATCATTATTTTCAAGAAAAGATGATAAACAGCAAAAGTAAAAAGAGAAATAAATGGAAGATCACATGACAATATTAAAGAGGCCCTATTGTGCTTTTTGGGGTTTTCCCTTTCCCTGTAGTGTGATATAGGTTTTAGTGCATGTCAACGGTCTGCAAAGGCTATAATCCCAAAGTTCCCTCAAGAGGGAATTCCGAGCTATAATAATTTCATCTTCCATCTAATTTGACCCTACATTTCTCTAATATAATAATTTTCATATAGTTTCTTAGCCTAAAAACAGATTTCTTTCTTTCAGGGATCTCTAAACTTCATATTGAAGTCAAAGGACTGTTTGTTTTAGAACAAATTTGAGTTCTAGGTTCTGCCTCTGAAGGTTAGCTCTGTGTTCCCTGAATGTTCCGGTCCATTAACGGGAAAGTCCAGAGCTGGTTAAAACCATAGACTGTATATATAAATGGACATAGTGTCCGTGACATCACCCATAGGATTCGGCAGAGTTGCAGAGAAGCCTAAAGTAGGCGGTGTCGGCCACTAACGTCTCGACAGTGACGTCAGAGTCTAACTCCCGCCTGCTCCAGCCTGATCCAAATAAGGGCAAAGAGGCGGAGGCGGGACCTGCTGCCACCGAGCTGGAAGTTCCAGAGCTAGCTGAGGCTACCAAGCTAAGCTAACATGCTCAGCAGTGCTGCTCTGTGATGCTAGCCGGCTAACCCATAAAAGGGTCGCGTTATAAAACAATTCACTCACCAATTCATAATCATGAAGGTGGAATCTAACTATATCCCGAATAATTTTTATTGCATCCAGGGGTAGAAACATGTTTTTTTGTTGGGCATTTTAACATGGGGGTCTATGGAAATTGCTCCTTTCTGCAGTCATCGCCTATCGGCCAATAGATGAACTGCAGTTTGTGGCACTTCCTTATAGAGTGGCGAAGTCCCTCCCCTTCCGGTGGACCTCCATGGGACCTTATTTCGGAAAAATTATGTATTGAAGTCAATGGAGAGAGAAAGATTATCTTTCGATCCCGTTTGAATTGTGCCACGAATTACACATATGATGTTTGTCAATTTAAAAGATAATTTTGCAAGTCAAAAAAGAAAAAAATATGTCGTAAAACTGTGAAGTAACACATTTGTTTGTGTGAAACGCTCAATGAACTACATCTCCGGTCTCGCACAATAACACACGTCACCAAGATGGCCGTCACTGCTGTCTTGTCAAAAAAAGGATTGACTACCCTCACTATGAATGTCATGCAAAGCTGCCTGCCTTCCTTTGATTCTCTCTGAACTGCCTGGTCTTTTTAATGTTTAATGTCAACCATTTGTGCAGATAGCATGAAGTGCAAAAGATCGCCGATGCTAATGTGGCGTTAGCGTTAGCCTTTCTCCCCTGGGCTTAAATTGTGTATTATAGAATGATCACACCGGTGACAGTACTCTTCAAAGGGTTCACGAAATATGACTACTACTCTTACTGTTTAACATTTTGGGTTACTTAATGTTACTTCATGTTAAGGCTAATACAAATGACAAGGCTGTAATGCTAACTAACGTGCTAGCTAGTAGCTAGGTAGCTAACTTGATCAAGCCACTCCTGGTCCTTTCATCAGACGGGAAGCGAAAGAACGTGCAAGACCCATTGCTGGTATGATAACAACCTGGTACTAAGCACACAGGCATCTTGTTAAAGTTATCTTATCTTAGCCAGCGCCATATAGATAGATTCTATCTATATGGCGCTGATCTTAGCTATCTCTTAGTGGAGGAAAACAATTGTGACATCACTTACGCGACTCTGGGATTTGTAGTCTTTCTAGTTGCGTATTTTTCATAGTCTTATATTTCAACAGTTTTACGACAAACTGTGACTTTTTTGACATGGAAATGATTTTTTAAGATTGACAAACATCATATGTGTAATTCATGGCACAATTCAAACGGGATCGAAAGATAAGTTTTCTCTCCCCATTGACTTCAATGCATAATTTTTCCGAAATAAGGTCCCATGGACCAGAAGTAGATGGGCGTGACTTCGCCACTCTATTGGCCTCCCGGCTCTGCCCCAGAGTTTGCCGCTTGGTTAAAACTAACTATCATCTGTCTGTTCTTACAGTGTTTCAATTACACAGTGGCATTTATGAACTGTATGATATTAGGGTTTCCCGAACAGCACTATTGGCTCTTTTTGCTGCAATGAGGGTCATGACTGTATCACAAGGGGGAGCCTTGTTAAGAGATATGCCACTAAAATTCAATTTGACACAGTTCTGCACCATGGTGGGTTTTTTGATGGGTTGGTATTTCATTTTTTTTCATGTGAAACGGTAGGCTACAGGATATTTTCTAGGCTCTACTGTAGGTCAGACTAAATGTGATCTATGTTACTTTCAGAATCAGTGTTTTTTTTCTGCCTTTACACACATTCTGCTTACAACCAGTTCACCTGATAACAGATAGAAGTTACATTCTAATCAATTGCTTTCTGACACTGCATCCCATTTATTTCCAACATTTTTGATCAGATATTTGTTTCTTAGTAAATGACTAAGCATACGAAGTAATAGAACAAAGATTGTACACTTGACACACACTACAAATCCCAGTGAAATCTACATGATGTAATATAGCGTTGTGCCATTCTGCTATTGTCCTCCTCAGTGCACAGGTGTGACATGTCAGGTATGTGTCAATATGGACCATGACTGCTCAATGGAAAAGACAATAGTATATTGTTTAAAGGGCCCCTCAACCCAGAGAATGCAGGTCATTTATGGTGTTATGGTCAGACACACCTAAAGGCAGAACCACCATTTTTCATACTATTACTGATTATGAAATAACTTAACTTTTCTTAATTTACCTAACATGAACAGTTGTCATTTTCTTACTACATTAAGGTCTCTCTTAACCTTACTGTGTAGCCTACGTGGCAAGTGGTAGTATAAATAAACCTGTTTGAGACAATGCGACATGCTCCAAATCCCATGTAAAAGGTTACATGTTGGTGCATTTTACTTGTTAGTCCAGGATAGCAACTTTTTAAAACAATTTACAGTTTACGAAAAGACAGTCCATTGATCAATTCGGCATATATTTGAGTGACCAAGCACTACTACATTACAACGAAATCCCAATATCTGTCAACTAATTAGCTTTACTGCGAATTTAGCATCCATGTAAGCATTTGGCAGAAAGCCAAATTAAATTAAACTAACACATTTTGAATGGAGTTGGCACGTTATTGTTTGCTTTTCAAATGCAATGGGCGGTGCCAGGACAAGCATTAGCTAAAGTAAGGGTTAACACTGGACTACTTACTAACATGTCCAGTGGACTCTGGACAGAAGTACCTATACTCTTACTTAGGACTGAATGATCCCGATAAGATTAGATATCAATTAAACAGTGACTTGGCAATGACCTCGAAGGCTACTTTACCAACTAAAAACATTTTCATACAAACTCAAGCGAAACATCGATATAGAATTAATGATAATGAAGAAACAGCAACATAAAAATAGCGTTTTATATTTTGAGAGAAAATAAAACCCGGAGGACATTTAATGCAACACAGAAAGGTGGCATCGTAGGCAAGGAGAAGTTATGTGTAACACTGTTATCTATGCTATCTTACTTCTATTATAGGTAAAAGCACAACGAACTTACAGTAAAATATCCCATGCCGAGTGTCACGGCGACGAGCCAGAACAGGCTGGTTCTTTTAAAGTAATCGCATCCATCACTTTTCGCCATAGCTGCTGCTGGTGTTCGCTGGTCCCGCTGTCAAATACGACCGTGTAGTAACAGCTGAGATGAGAAGTGACGGGAGGAAGGGAGGGTGATACCGTTTTCATATTCATGCATAATGGAAGGGCTATTACATAAGTGGAAAAAGCTATTGAAAAAAAAAACATAATTGTTTTATATGAACTTGTCAGGTGTTCTCACTATATATTTGTATTTTTGCTATTTATACTTATTATAATAAGCTGTAACAAAATACAGATTAATAACAACGTTTTACTGCATTGTTGCCACCTAATGCAGTGGTTCCCAACCTGGGGGGGCGCCAAAGATCGCAGGGGGGGCGCCAGGCCTCAGATGATTTGAGGCCAAATATCATATTTAGACTTTTTTATTTATTTATTTATTTATTTTTACATATAATTGTAACGCAATACATGATTGTCACTAAAAGCCTTGTCTCTACATTACAATAAAATATAAAAAATAATTGATTAATTAATTTGAATAAAGATTCAAGTTAGTAGCTATTATAGGCATCAAAAGACAGACATGTATAATTCTTTCTTTAATAGAAATGTTTCTTCTGCCCGTAAAGTGTCCAAACCAGGCTTTTCTGGATAAGCGCATTTTTAAAACATAGTCATTGTCCATGCCGGTTTCAGATTATTTGTCACAGTTGCTCCGATCAGATCGGTCTCCTCCATTTTGTTGATTATTTACGACTTTTGAATCCCCATAAACACATCGGCAAAATCCGGCTTACTTTGAGCATGTGTTTTAAACAGTTTAATCCCTTTACTCCAATAGTGCTCCTTAATTACGCTTTCATCCTCCTTTAACAAAATACTTCACATTCATCCAGTTTGTGACAGTAGTTGTAGCATTTTTGAGACTTTTAAACTTTAATTACTGCTGTAGCCCAGAGTATCTTACATTCAAAATATATAGATAATTTTGTAGAAGTAATAGAAGAATAACATATTCTATGTATTCAATAAATACAAACCAATAGAATCAAACAAACCATTATAAACACCAGAGATAATATCATAATATATATATTTTTAAAATATAAAACTACTCCAAAATACAAATCTACATTAAAAGATCTGTGTTTAATTGTATATATTTAATATAGAATATTTTATATGCATATTAGCTAAAACATGTTTTTTTCATTGACGTCATAACCATGTTTTTTCACAGAATGGAACTATTATTACCTGTAATTAAAATGCAATGCATGATGTCAGAATAATAATGTATTACAAAAAAGGCATTCCTTCATCTCACCTTGTCATTTTGCATGGTTTTCTACTTGAATTACCAATTAAAAATTAAAACATTTCTATGCAACGTTCAACGATTGAATTTTAAATCCATATCCAACTTCAAGTCTTCTTCCCTTCTTTCCAATACACCTCAAATATGAAAAATAAAAGAAGTACAAACTTACCACAGGGGATTCCAAACTGTGACAGGCTGTTTTGCTTTTGCATCCCTGACATCTGCAGCATGGCCGTCTCCCTGTTTGGAGGATTATACTTTGCAAATTACATGAAGAGATAAACTGAACAGATGAGTTTTTACTTTTTTAATATGCAGATCTCTAACCTAAACAGCTCTTTATAGTGATTTTGCATTAGCTGAAAAGCCTAGATGCTAAACCAGCGCTTAGTTATCTTCAATCATTCGATCACTGTATGTAAACCTGATGGCAAGTAAGTAATCTGCTGAAATGGGTTATTGATAACACTCTTTCCCATGTTGCTATTTTATCAGACTGATTTTAGATATGAAAAACAAAGTGTTGGATACGTACTTTTTGAAATGTAATAGGTATAATGTAACTTATTTATAACAAATAAAGCTTCAAAAGGTCCTAAAAACATAAATTTAAAGGCAGGAAAAACCTCACAACATTTATCACTGTCAAAATGTTATATAGGTTCCTAAATGTGACTTCAAATATGATTCAAACAGAGCGTGTTATAAGTCTATACAATAGCTTTTTACCTAAAAGTATATATTCAAATGTAAGCTCTTTTTTCAACTCGCTAAAATTACAATTATTATATAATTTAATAACTTAACGGAGGTAAATGCAACTAGTTTCTTCTCATCACTGGCAATACATGTCAAATGTTAATTATATGAGTACCCAGAATTCCTTTGAATCATATGAATTGGTGACTTTGGCAGCTTCCACAGTTGGCAGAGTGTGTGTGAGGTCTGATAGGATTTGGATAAAGTACAGAGGGAGAGTTGAGGGACTTTCAGGAGCCGGCTCCACACATGGAGACATTGATTCTGCGAGTTGTCCTGATAAACATGAAAAGAGCCAGTCTTAGCTTGTTTGGTTGTGTCAGATAACTCTGCTAGACTTCAAGCTGCATTGTTTTCCCACAGTTACTGTAAATCTGTTCCTGCACTTTGACCCTTTGTACTATCTGACTCTAGATTCAGTTTGTTAGCATTTACATTTTCAATGTGTGACATGCAGCAGCTCAGACGTCAGGAAATGTAAACAACAAGAGGGAGGTCGAAGTTCCAGACTATAATAATGCTCATGGAGAGGTCCTTTTTCTCTCTTTACCTACACTTTCAGTTCTTTTTTATTTCTGCATATCATTTTTGTATTTATTTATTTGTTTTCTAATTTAATTCTCAGATTTATTTCATTTACTGCTTATTATATATACATATACGTCTTATTGCACCTTTTTTTCTCCCCTATGATTTTCATATTGATCTCAGTGGATTGCGGCATTTCCCCTTATTTGTTATTCCTATAATTTCCATTATTTGATTTCTTTTTTACTTATACTCTTATTTCTTTATGATGGAGAAAAAAAAATAGCTAAACTAATAAAGAAAATATATAATAAAAAAATATTGTATTTGTATATATAATGTATATACATTATATATGATGTACATATAAATACCTATATATGTATAAATACAGCTCTGGGAAAAATTGTGAGACCACTGCAAAATGATCAGTTTCTCTGGTTTTACTATTTATAGTGTGTTTGAGTAAAATACATACATTTGTTATCCTATAAACTACTGACAACATTTCTCTGTGTTGGAATTCAACAAACACTGGAATGGAATGTCTGCTATACATGTAGAAATTGAGATTTAAGAAACATCTGGAGTGTTTTTTTTTTTCCAGAGCTGTATATATATACATACATATTTGTATTAATGATATTTTAGCTTTATTATTCCTCCATCAGTTGTTATAGCTTCCAATTGTTTGTTTTTTGGGGGGCTAAATTCAGGTGTTTCTTAAATGTGTTGTATTTTTGGCTTTTATTTATCATGGAAAATCAATAAAGGGATCTACCCAATAAAAACAAATTATATTTGAAAGAAGTAATTTATTGTTTTCCAGCAGACTGTCAGTGCGCACATTTGATAGTGAGGTTAAATGTCACATCATCTGCATTCAGCTCGGTCAAAGCCTTGACATGTTACACCGTTTGACAGGCTGACTCTGAGTCAGCGCTCCGAGGCGGCTGGTTCACCGTCTAATTCATCACAGAATAATGACCCACCTTTGTCTTTCCTCCTGATAGCAGGACGCTGCTCTGCATATGAAAGACAACAGGAGCCATTGATAGGCTTCAAGCTGTGAAGTGTGTTTTGTTTTTTGCTAAGGCCTGTGAGTTAATATTTCTTTAAGACTATTGTTGGTTGATCAGTGGTCAACAGTTTGCAAAACTGCCAGTGTTTGTGTTCAACCCTAATCACATGACCCCCATTAGCCACATTTAAATGAATGATGGCTTTGAATATTAAGAAAGACACGGCTCTAATCCTTCTTTAAATAAATTATTTAAAGCTAAAACATCTGTGCCGTGAGAGATGCTGGCAAACAAATATATATTTATATGCCTTATAATAACAAAGTGTACATTAATGACATCTCTTTGGTAAGAATGATAAAACCCCAATACACATTTGAATTTTCTTTATGCCATCTTTAGAATATTAGCCAAAAAAAAGACAAATCATTCATGAGATAGCTCCTCGCTTTGTATACTATTATTGAATATCAGTTGTGTATTGCCTGTGACATCTAAATCACAAGCTTGCACACTCATCATACACAAAAAGCATGAGAAGATAATCCTTTTCAGTGCCTTGCAAATATTAGTATAATAAATAATGATACATACAAACACATACAAATCTGCACAAACAGGGGCATTCTAAAAGAAATATGTCAATAAACAAATAATGATAAGATCTCTATCTGCCATTTTTAATATCAACAGCTTTTTCCAGAATGCGTGGGCTAAACGGCACATAAAGTCTATTTTTCTTTTCACTTTTTGTGCATTAATCCACTTAATGTTAACAATCAGGTAAACATAACTAAAATAATAAATACATAATAATAAGGACTAGTTCATAATGGAAATAATGTCAATAAAATGTATCAGATGTACTGTAGTGATGGATTGAACTAAATACATATAGTTAGTTTTACCTTTTTGACATATTTGTACTTTACTTGAGTATTTACATTTAATGCTACTGTATACTTCGACTCCGCAACATTTCAGAGACAAATATTAAACTTCTCACTCCACTACATTTATTTTTAAAACGTACAGTTAATAGTTATTTTGTACATATAAAAACACACGATATGCTGATATGGTATAATGCATTACTGTACTACTGTTGTACACAGTATTTCTAGTATCTAAATTGCTCCACATTGACAAACAAAAATACTTAAATGTTCTTACATGTATACAAATAAGATAATATACTAACCATTATAATATAATACTGTGAAAAGATACATTCTGCATAACAAGATACTTGAAGTAAATGTAGCTGATAATACTTCTGTACTTTATGTTACTGAAATTAATCATTGTGCAGAATGAAAACTTTGTGTACTTTAAGTATATTTTGTTTAAGTAACATTGGGAAATCAGGACTTTTACTATGTGGTTGTTCTATATGTCACATATTCAGCAGCACAGAAAAGACAAACAATCACATGTTTGTCGTCTTGTTGTTAAGTGGTATCGATGAGGCTAACGAC